CTACCATCCCAAGTATGATGCTCTACCATCCCCAAGTGTGATGCTCTACCATCCCCAAGTATGATGCTCTACCATCCCCAAGTATGATGCTCTACCATCCCAAGTATGATGCTCTACCATCCCCAAGTATGATGCTCTACCATCCCAAGTATGATGCTCTACCATCCCCAAGTGTGATGCTCTACCATCCCCAAGTGTGATGCTCTACCATCCCCAAGTATGATGCTCTACCATCCCCAAGTATGATGCTCTACCATCCCCAAGTATGATGCTCTACCATCCCCAAGTGTGATGCTCTACCATCCCCAAGTATGATGCTCTACCATCCCCAAGTATGATGCTCTACCATCTCCAAGTATGATGCTCTACCATCCCCAAGTGTGATGCTCTACCATCCCCAAGTGTGATGCTCTACCATCCCCAAGTATGATGCTCTACCATCCCCAAGTATGATGCTCTACCATCCCCAAGTATGATGCTCTACCATCCCCAAGTATGATGCTCTACCATCCCCAAGTATGATGCTCTACCATCCCCAAGTGTGATGCTCTACCATCCCAAGTATGATGCTCTACCATCCCCAAGTATGATGCTCTACCATCCCCAAGTATGATGCTCTACCATCCCCAAGTATGATGCTCTACCATCCCCAAGTGTGATGCTCTACCATCCCCAAGTATGATGCTCTACCATCCCCAAGTATGATGCTCTACCATCCCCAAGTATGATGCTCTACCATCCCAAGTATGATGCTCTACCATCCCCAAGTGTGATGCTCTACCATCCCCAAGTGATGCTCTACCATCCCCAAGTATGATGCTCTACCATCCCCAAGTATGATGCTCTACCATCCCCAAGTGTGATGCTCTACCATCCCCAAGTGTGATGCTCTACCATCCCAAGTATGATGCTCTACCATCCCCAAGTATGATGCTCTACCATCCCCAAGTATGATGCTCTACCATCCCCAAGTGTGATGCTCTACCATCCCCAAGTGTGATGCTCTACCATCCCCAAGTATGATGCTCTACCATCCCCAAGTATGATCCCAAGTATGATGCTCTACCATCCCCAAGTGTGATGCTCTACCATCCCCAAGTATGATGCTCTACCATCCTCCCAAGTATGATGCTCTACCATCCCCAAGTATGATGCTCTACCATCCCCAAGTATGATGCTCTACCATCCCCAAGTGTGATGCTCACATCCCCAAGTTGTGCTCTACCATCCCCAAGTATGATGCTCTACCATCCCCAAGTGTGATGCTCTACCATCTCCAAGTATGATGCTCTTACCCATCCCCAAGTATGATGCTCTACCATCCCCAAGTATGATGCTCTACCATCCCCAAGTATGATGCTCTACCATCCCCAAGTATGATGCTCTACCATCCCCAAGTATGATGCTCTACCATCTCCCAAGTATGATGCTCTACCATCCCCAAGTATGATGCTCCACCATCCCCAAGTTGATGCTCTACCATCCCCAAGTATGATGCTCCACCATCCCCAAGTATGATGCTCTACCATCTCCAAGTATGATGCTCTACCATCCCCAAGTATGATGCTCTACCATCCCCAAGTATGATGCTCTCACCATTCCTCCACAAGTATTGATGCTCTACCATCCCCAAGTGTGATGCTCTACCATCCCCAAGTATGATGCTCTACCATCCCCAAGTATGATGCTCTACCATCTCCAAGTATGATGCTCTACCATCCCCAAGTATGATGCTCTACCATCCCCAAGTATGATGCTTTGTTGATCCACCATCCCCAAGTGTGATGCTCTACCATCCCAAGTGTGATGCTCTACCATCCCCAAGTATGATGCTCTACCATCCCCAAGTATGATGCTCTCTTGATGTTACCATCCCCAAGTATGATGCTCTACCATCCCCAAGTGTGATGCTCTACCATCCCCAAGTGTGATGCTCTACCATCCCCAAGTATGATGCTCTACCATCCCCAAGTATGATGCTCTACCATCCCCAAGTATGATGCTCTACCATCCCCAAGTGTGATGCTCTACCATCCCCAAGTGTGATGCTCTACCATCCCCAAGTATGATGCTCTACCATCCCCAAGTATGATGCTCCACCATCCCCAAGTGTGATGCTCTACCATCCCCAAGTATGATGCTCTACCATCCCAAGTATGATGCTCTATCCATCCCCAAGTATGATGCTCTACCATCCCCAAGTATGATGCTCTACCATCCCCAAGTATGATGCTCTACCATCCCCAAGTGTGATGCTCTACCATCCCCAAGTGTGATGCTCTACCATCCCCAAGTATGATGCTCTACCATCCCCAAGTGTGATGCTCTACCATCCCCAAGTATGATGCTCTACCATCCCCAAGTATGATGCTCCACCATCCCCAAGTGTGATGCCCTACCATCCCCAAGTATGATGCTCTACCATCTCCAAGTATGATGCTCTACCATCCCCAAGTATGATGCTCTACCATCCCTAAGTATGATGCTCTACCATCCCCAAGTATGATGCTCTACCATCCCCAAGTGTGATGCTCTACCATCCCCAAGTGTGATGCTCTACCATCCCCAAGTGTGATGCTCTACCATCCCCAAGTGTGATGCTCTACCATCCCCAAGTATGATGCTCTACCATCTCCAAGTATGATGCTCTACCATCTCCAAGTATGATGCTCCACCATCCCCAAGTGTGATGCTCTACCATCCCCAAGTATGATGCTCTACCATCTCCAAGTATGATGCTCTACCATCCCCAAGTATGATGCTCTACCATCCCCAAGTATGATGCTCTACCATCCCCAAGTGTGATGCTCTACCATCCCCAAGTGTGATGCTCTACCATCCCCCCAAGTATGATGCTCTACCATCTCCAAGTATGATGCTCTACCATCTCCAAGTATGATGCTCCACCATCCCCAAGTGTGATGCTCTACCATCTCCAAGTATGATGCTCTACCATCCCCAAGTATGATGCTCTACCATCCCCAAGTATGATGCTCTACCATCCCCAAGTATGATGCTCTACCATCCCCAAGTATGATGCTCTACCATCCCCAAGTGTGATGCTCTACCATCCCCAAGTATGATGCTCTACCATCCCCAAGTATGATGCTCTACCATCCCCAAGTATGATGCTCTACCATCCCCAAGTGTGATGCTCCACCATCCCCAAGTGTGATGCTCTACCATCTCCAAGTATGATGCTCTACCATCCCGAAGTATGATGCTCTACCATCCCCAAGTATGATGCTCTACCATCCCCAAGTGTGATGCTCTACCATCTCCAAGTATGATGCTCTACCATCCCCAAGTGTGATGCTCTACCATCCCCAAGTATGATGCTCTACCATCCCCAAGTATGATGCTCTACCATCCCGAAGTGTGATGCTCTACCATCTTCAAGTATGATGCTCTACCATCCCCAAGTATGATGCTCTACCATCCCCAAGTATGATGCTCTACCATCCCCAAGTATGATGCTCTACCATCCCCAAGTGTGATGCTCTACCATCCCCAAGTGTGATGCTCTACCATCCCCAAGTATGATGCTCCACCATCCCCAAGTATGATGCTCTACCATCCCCAAGTATGATGCTCTACCATCCCCAAGTATGATGCTCTACCATCCCCAAGTGTGATGCTCTACCATCTCCAAGTATGATGCTCTACCATCCCCAAGTGTGATGCTCTACCATCCCCAAGTATGATGCTCCACCATCCCCAAGTATGATGCTCTACCATCCCCAAGTATGATGCTCTACCATCCCCAAGTGTGATGCTCTACCATCCCCAAGTATGATGCTCTACCATCCCCAAGTATGATGCTCCACCATCCCCAAGTGTGATGCTCTACCATCTCCAAGTATGATGCTCTACCATCCCGAAGTATGATGCTCTACCATCCCCAAGTATGATGCTCTACCATCCCCAAGTGTGATGCTCTACCATCTCCAAGTATGATGCTCTACCATCCCCAAGTATGATGCTCCACCATCCCCAAGTGTGATGCTCTACCATCCCCAAGTGTGATGCTCTACCATCCCCAAGTATGATGCTCTACCATCCCCAAGTATGATGCTCCACCATCCCCAAGTGTGATGCTCTACCATCCCCAAGTATGATGCTCCACCATCCCCAAGTGTGATGCTCTACCATCTCCAAGTATGATGCTCTACCATCCCGAAGTATGATGCTCTACCATCCCCAAGTATGATGCTCTACCATCCCCGAGTGTGATGCTCTACCATCTCCAAGTATGATGCTCTACCATCCCCAAGTATGATGCTCTACCATCCCCAAGTGTGATGCTCTACCATCCCCAAGTATGATGCTCTACCATCCCCAAGTATGATGCTCTACCATCCCGAAGTGTGATGCTCTACCATCTTCAAGTATGATGCTCTACCATCCCCAAGTATGATGCTCTACCATCCCCAAGTATGATGCTCTACCATCCCCAAGTATGATGCTCTACCATCCCCAAGTGTGATGCTCTACCATCCCCAAGTGTGATGCTCTACCATCCCCAAGTATGATGCTCTACCATCCCCAAGTATGATGCTCTACCATCCCCAAGTATGATGCTCTACCATCCCCAAGTATGATGCTCTACCATCCCCAAGTGTGATGCTCTACCATCTCCAAGTATGATGCTCTACCATCCCCAAGTATGATGCTCTACCATCCCCAAGTATGATGCTCTACCATCCCCTTCCCCTGTTCTCTCTCCCCCATTATCGCATCTCTCAACTCGCCCTCCCGCCCAATTCTCTCCTCCCGCTCCTCCCCCCGCGCCCACACCAGCTCTGCCCACTTTCGTGAGCATGTGCCTCTCGGTGCTTCTCTGTGCCTCTCTGTGCCCGCAGCTCATTCCTCACCGCATCTGCTCCCGCCTCTCTCTTTTGGCTGTCTCTAGCTGCACCTCCCTTCACCGCATTTCATTAACCTTCTCCCATCCACCTGCCCCTCGTCCACCCCCCTCTCCCCCCGGTGGTACATGGCAGTCCTTTGGACCTCAGCAACAGCCCCCCGCACCCTGCAGCACAGGCACCAGCCCACCCTGCCAGCACTGCTGCTGCCGCCATGCAAGCAGCAGGGGACCCTGCACTGGCAGGTGCCACAGCAGGAGCAGGAGCAGCAGCAGTGGGGGCAGGCAGTGCTGCAGACGTGGCAACAGCTGCAGCAAAATCATCAGCAGCGTCCGGAAACCGCGTCTCCTCTTCAGCCCAGCCCCATGTGCTCCCTCACTCACTCCCCTCCCTGCCACCGTACCCTTCCCTCCCTTCCACACTCCCCCACTCCACCTTCCACTCCTCTTCAGCCTCTCCTTATGAGTCGACTCAGCAATCCCCTTCAGCCTCTCCCCACACCCCACCCCTCCCCAGCAGACCCACTCCTCCTCCCACTCTTCCCCTACCCCAGTCCATCCCCGCTGCTTCTCCCCCCCACTCTCCACTACCCCCCTCCGGCTGGGCCCAACCCCCAAGCCCCACCTACTCCCGTGCATATGTCTGCTGCCACTGCCACTGCTGCTGCCCCTGCCTCGTCTCGTCCCGCCTCGTCCACCCCTGCTGCCATGGCTGCCGTCCTCACAGGCAGTACTGTGCCGCCCTCTGCTTCTCCCTCCGCCCCTCTGCCCCCTGCTGCCTCCTCCTCCGCCTTCCGTGCCTCTGCTCTCGCCCCACCCGCCATACCCACTACTGCCCCTGTCTCTCCTGCTGCCCCCTCTGCTGCTGCCACTGCCACTCGCACTACTGGGACTGCTGCATATGGTAACCAGGCTGCCATGGTACATGGTAACCAGGCTGCCATGGTACACGGTAACCAGTCTACCATGTCACAGACTGCCATGGGACACGGCAACCAGACTGCGACAGCACACAGTAACCAGACTGTTATGGCACATGGTAACCAGAGTGCGTTTGCACATGGTCATGCGGGAAGCATGGCGGCAGTATCCATGCATGCACATGGCCGCTCATCTCCCCATGGGGTGCCTCATGCCTATGCTGCTCCACATGCTCATGCCCATCCACATCCCCATGCACACGCATACAACCATGCGTACGCCCACGCTCACATGCATGCGCACACCCACGGCCACATGCCGCAGTCAGCCGTGCCGTTCTCCCAGTCGCCTGCGCATGCGCGCCCCCATGCCACCGCCCCGCCAATGGCCGCCTCGCCGCACGCCCCCCCGAGGACTCCTACCCCTGCGCTTGGGGCGAGTGGAGCGGCAGCTCCAGCGCCAGGTGCAGGCGCTCGCACTGCCGCTGGTGGGGGTGGGGGTGGGGGAGGTGGTGGTGGTGGTGCATTTGGTGGTCGCGGGGGCAGTGGGGGTGTGCAGGGCGGCAGAGGAAGGGGACCGGAGATGGCAGGAGGCACAGCGCAAGGCAGCAAGGCAGCAGCTCCTCACAGGTGTGGTGCCGTGGCTTGCCATGAGCATAAGTGTGCAGCTGTATGGTGTGCTTTCCGCACCATGCTTCCTGCTTTCATGGTGCACACCTTTCAAAATCCTAGGCCCTTCACCCGCTCCCTGTATTCCTCTGGCCCCAGCTTTTGTCCTTCTTTTCCGTGTTCGTCTGGCTCCCCGCCCGAACAGTGCCAGAAGTCTGTCACGAGTGCCGCAGCACAGAGGGCCAGCCATGCGCCAGCAGCAACAGCAGCAGCAACAACAACACCAACGGCAGCAGCAGCAGCAGAAGCAGCAGCATCACCAACAGCAGCAGCAACAGCAACGGCAACAGCAGCATCAGCATCAGCAGCAGCGTCAGCAGCAGCATCAGCAACAGCAACAGCAGCAGCATTTCCAGCAGCAGTACCCCCATAGGCCAGGGCATTCTCAACCTGCCAGCAGTTTAGCACCATCTGTTTCCCCATCAGCACCCCCCTTACCTGCTGTGCCTGCTGTGCCTGCCACAGTGCCTGCTGTGCCTGCCACGGTGCCTGCTGTGCCTGCTGTGCCTGCTGTGCCTGCTGTGCCTGCAACGCTGCCTGCTGTGCCTGCCACAGCACCTCTCATGCCTCCCACCCTTCCAACTGCTACAAGCCAACGCTTGTCAGGCTCCCCTTCACTGCCCACTCCCCCCCCACTCCCCGCATCCCCGTCTCTCCCCACTCCCCCCTCCCTCCACTCGGCAAGGACTGTGGTTTCCCCGCCTCATGCCACTGCACCCCATGCTCTTCCCTCGCTCCCTGCCACCTCCACCCCTCCCCTCTCTGCGCTGTCTCCAGCTCCAGTTACCGTGCCTGCCAGTGCTGCCACCCCTGCCGGTGCTGCCGTGCCTGCCAGTGCTGCACCTGCCAATGCCCCCTCCGCTGTCACTGCTGCCGCTGCAACAGTTTCCTCTGCAAAGCGTCCCCCCTCACCCTCCCCTGCCCCTGCGCCATTGGCACCTGCTTTCTCCCCCTCTCCGCGCATTACTATCGCCCCCTCCCAACATCCTGCTGTCTCCCCCTCCCACCCACCTCCTTTTTCCCTGGGCCGTGGAAGCAGCAGTCAGGCGGCGATTGCAGGAGGAGTGGGCAGAGGCAGGGGTATGCAAGTGGCAGCCGTGGCACGGACAGGGGCACCGGCCCTAGTGGCAGCTGCAGCAGCACCGGCAGCAGCAGCAGTGCATGCAAGGGCAGCACCACTACCACAAGCAGCATCAGCATTGCCACACGCAGCAGCAGCAGCAGCAGTAGCACATTTACCAGCAGCTCCGGGACAAGCACGAGCAGCAGCAGGCAGCAGTGGCAGTGCAAATGTGAGTCACATGCCTGTGCAGCAACTGCCCGGCCACGTAAGATCAGCAAGTGCGCCGATGCATGCAGGAACAGCACCAGCGACGCATGCAGCAGCAGCCACACGCACAGCAGCTGCACCCACAACGGCTGCAACGGTAGCAGCAGTGCCACAAGCAACAGCAGCTCCAAGAGGCGGATATACTCCTGCCCAGGCAAAGCCACAGCAAGTCTCGCCGAGGCAATCAGTGCCGAACCAAGCAGTGCCGAGCCAAGCAGTCCCGAGCCAAGCAGTGCCGAGCCAAGCAGTGCCGATCCAAGCAGTGCCGAGCCAAGCCGTGCCGAGCCAAGCCGTGCCGAGGCAGGGCATGGCACGGGCTGCTGTGGCAGCTGTGCCTCACGCAGTGGGGGGGCAGACCTCAGTGGGTCCCTCGGTGCCACCCCCAGCTGCAGTGAAGCAGAGAGGCCTCGCTGCTGCTGCTAGTGCTGCTGCTGCTGGTGCTACTGTTGCTGCTGCTGCTCCTGCTGCTGCTCCTGGTGGTGGTGGTGGTGGTGGTGGTGCAGTTATGGCAGCAGCAGGCACGGCAGGTGCGACAAATGTGACACATGTGAAGGCAGTAGAGATTGGGAGGGGCCAACAGGGAGGAGGGGTGGCAGCACACGCAGGACACATGGCGCAGCAGAGTGGCAAGGTGCAAGCAGGCGTGCAGACAGGTGCTAGTGCGGTGCAGCAGCCACACAGACCGCAACCAGCACAGACAACTGCGTCGGACTTTGCCGCACCAATCACAGCCGCACCAATCACGGCTGCACCAGCAGCAGTGACAGAGAAAGGCGCTGCAACTTTATCCAATGAATCACAGCCGCAGGCGAAGCAGTAAACCCAGCGTCAGCAGCAGCAACAGCAGGAAGGCCTATAGTGGCAGGAGCAGCAGTGCCAGCCCGAGCAGTAGGAGGCGGTGCAAGTGCCACACCGGCAGCGACTCAATAAGCCATTGCAATGCCTGAAAGTGTAAGAGCTGAGGAAGTTCCCACTGCAGGTAGATCACCTTCAGTAAGCTCGCGGTGAAATCGTGATGTAGAATGGACGCTCAAGATTGTATCTATAGAAGGATGTAATTTCCTACAGTATATTGTTAATCGTCTGTTTAAAGGAGAACACTTATTGTCTCAATGGAAGTCACAGGGCCGAACAATTTACTGCTCCTTAGCGTGTATGGCGTGGTGTGCCAGCTCATTCCGCGTGTGGTGGTACTTTCTAGGGCCACGTCCCCTCGCCCTGCCCCTTTCGCCTTCTTCTCCCGCCCCCCTGCTCCCCGCCTTATCCACTCCCCATCCCATCAAACGTCCTCCCCCTTTGGGCTGCCCGCTGTGTGCACCCTCCGCTATCCCCTCTCCCCTTCTCCCTCGCTCACTCAGATTTCTCGCTTCTCGGAAGTGGCAACGGACTAGCGCCTGCCCATCTCCCCACCATCACCCCCCCAATGGCGGGCACTCTTTCCCTCCGCGTCCCCGTGGCGGCGGCAGCCGTGCCGGCCGCCGGCCTGTCTCAGCCCGTCGCGCACTCCCTAAGCCGCGCCGCGCTCGTGCCGCTGCGCGCACGGCAAGCCTCCTCGCTCGCCGCGCCACAGCAGGCCAGGCGCGGTGCCGCAGTGGCGCCGCGCAACGTGGCGATGGCAGATTCGCTGACGGGGGTGGAGGAGGAGGGGTCGGCGCGGCCCTCGTACCCGGCGGGCGTGCACCGGTACGAGGCGATGGTGGTGCTGCGCCCCGACCTCACTGACGACGAACGCGTCGCACTCACCGAGCGATACGAAGAGGTGCGTCGCACTCACCGAGCGATACGAGGAGGTGCGTCGCAGTGGCGCAAGAGGACTGGCGTTGGCGTGACGTTGTATGGCCCGTGTTCCCCCCTCTCGGCGTCACTGTCCCTCCTGACAGCAGCGCGGCCTGCAATGCACTTGCTTCTCTCCTCGCTCTCGCCATCCTCCCATGCCCTCTCCGTTCACTCCCCTTGCCCACTCTGTACTCCTTTCCGTGTATGCGCACTCCCCTCTTGCGCACTCCCCTCTTGCGCACTCCCCTCTTGCGCAATCCCCTCTTGCGCTCTCCCCCAATGCGCTCTCCCCGCATACGCACTACTCTCATGCACACTCCCCACTTGCGTTCTCCCTTCCGCTCCCATTCCCCCCCTCCCCGCGTCCTCTCCCCGCGTCTTCTCCCCGCGCGTGCAGTTCCTCGTGGCGGGCGGCGCTCTGGATGTGGAAATCTTCAACCGCGGCATGCAGCCGTTGGCATATAGCATAAAGACAAAGAACATGGGCGGCGTGATGAGCCGCTACCTGGACGGCATCTTCTTCCTCTTCATCTTCGCCGCCCGCTCAGACGCGCAGGTCAATCTGCAGCGGCGCCTCAACCGCGACGATGACGTCATCCGCTCCAACACCTTCCGCGTCAAGGCGTGACGCGCCCAACCCGCCGCAGGTGAGATGCCGCGAGGCGAGGCGAGGCGAGGCGAAATGAGTGCAGGCGAGGCGAGTGGGAACAGATGGTTTGAGCGTGGATGGTGGAGGGGAGGACAGGGGAGGACAGGAGAGGACAGGAGAGGACAGGAGAGGACAGGAGAGGACAGGAGAGGACAGGAGAGGACAGGAGAGGACAGGAGAGGACAGGAGAGGACACGGGAGGACAGGGCAAGGCGAGTGGGGTTGGGATTGGGGTTGCGGGCCAGCAATCATCAGCATGAGAGGAAGGTGGAAGCAGTGAGAGCGTGGCACGCTTCGCAGTGAGAGGGCGGCAGCATGGTGAGGTGGATGGAGCGCGGTGCCAGGGGGGAGGGCGGGAGGGAGGGAGGGCGGGAGGGAGCGAGGGAGGGAGGGAGGGAGGGAGGGAGGGGGGATGAGGGGATGATGAGGATGAGGCAGTGGAGGATGAGATGCAGAGCAAGGAATGTTCAGAGCGCAGCTATCATCATGCATGCATGCATGCCTCATCAGCATGTATGCATGCCCTATCATCATGCTTGCCCTATCGTCATGCATGCCCGATCGTCATGCATGCCGGATCATCATGCATGCCCGATCATCATGCATGCCGTAACATTATGCATGCCCTTCATCGTGAATGTGTTACCCTTTTAATCCCCTCCCTCTCTCTCGCACACATGCTCCCACTCTCTTTCCCTCCCAACCTTCCTCGCCCTCTCTCTCCGTGGCTGCAGGAGCTCTCAATTTCCACGCAGGATTCGCTTATGTGCCATGCCACTGCCTCTCCTCACTTGCTGCCTCTGGCCTGGGAATAGTGTCATGACCGTCTTGCGGTACCCGAGACAACTGTAGTGCCCACTAAGCATTGTGTTTGCCAGAGCTGAAGTGATTGTACCTCCAGCAGTCTCTGAAATGTTTTTTTGATGAGAAAACGTAGCCTTGCATTGCAACAATGGTGTGTCTGCCAGAACCCCCTTTGCGAGGACTCTGTTCAAGTGAAAGAATGTCTAGAACAAGGCATACAAGGGAATATAACCTAATGGGTTGTACTCAGGGCTCAAAATTGGTTTAGGGGCACCCTTAGAAATCAGTGTACCTAAAACAAATTACCCTGTCTCTTAGGGTACAATTTTCATCACCCTTTGAAAATCAGGGTAAATTTGTAAAAAAAATATGAGTACCCTGAATGTACAGGGTACTAAAATTATCACCTTGCACACTGCACTGCACAGGGTAATTTTCCAGCTTTCTTAGCGTGTGTGAGAGACATTATCGGTCCTTCACTAAAATCACGCAGGAAGTCCGAGGCGAGCTGGAGCACATGTGAGGGCGTGGTACATGGGTTGCGCTTTGCGTCGAGACTGCAATCCGGGTTGCGCCATTGGCGAAATAACCCTAACTAAAATCAGTCCAACCCATCTTTCACACGCCGTGCGAGGTTCAGCGCTCTCGGTAACCAGACAGGTTTGTGCAACCTCGATTAGTTGCGCAACCCATGTACCGGGCGTAACTGTCCCTTGATCAAAGTGACGCACGTTCTGGAGTCCGAGGCGCGCTGGAGCAAGTGTGAGGGCATGTCCAGCACGTTCAGTTTGCCCCAACACGTGTTTTTCACGTTTTTTTAACACGCCGAAGTATTGATTCGCCAAGTGTGAATGTGTTGAGGTCCACCGACAGTATGAACAGAAAAACGCGCGGAAACGAGCCCCGCCCGTGTCTCGACAAATGAGCGGGTGCGCAGCGCGCACATAACAGACTGGCACGCGAAAACAGCAGGGTAACTGAATTTTGGCCCGCGAACACGCATTACGAGCCGCGACTCCACCCAGGGTGGAAAAAATGGAGGGCTCAATTTCCCCCTCGCCAGAGGAAAAAAACACAGAAACACATGACGAATGTAACAAACAGTGAAATTTATGAATAGAGAGAGAGAGTACACAAACATATACCTAAATGTTGTACTCTCTAGAAGATAACCCTATACAGTCTATACAAGCATGATAACTAAACATGTTTGACACACCCCCTGGACTGCATAGGGGAATGTTCTAGACAAGCAGCTCAGGGTGGCACTACTAGTCCAGCCTCTGAGACAAGGGTCTAAAAGACCAGTCAGAAGGAGTACAGGCAAGGCAAGAACTAGTACAGGGCGGCACTACTAGTCCAACCACTGTAAGAGGACACAAGTCCAGTCTGAGTGTACACACAGATATATAGGACAGTACAGAGTCAAGGCCCGAGTAAGTGAGAGACTACAGGAACCAGACCAAGCTGCACACAGTGCCGCTGATGATCTTTAGGCGCAAGCGCCTTCGTAAAGATATCAGCTGTGTTGGCACCGGAGGCTAAGTGTACTACGCGAGCCTGGCGACGCTGCTGTAGCTCACGCAGGAGGAAGTACCGCAGCTGGATGTGCTTCGCTCTGCCCTCGAGTCGAGGCTCCTGACACAGGAGGATCATGGCCCTGTTGTCAGCGTACAGGACCGGGGCAGAGCTAGGCCGCTCACCTAAGTCAGTGAGCAAGAAGGTCAGCCAGCGGAGCTCCTGTGCCGCCATGGCACCGGCGTAGATCTCGGCCTCACAGCTGGACTGGGCAACAGACGAAGAGCGGGTAGCTCTCCACGAGACAGCACCTGAACCAAGGCTAAAGCAGTAGCCCTGGAAAGACCTGAGCGTCTCGGCGTCGTCTGCCCAAGAAGCGTCTGTGTGTCCAGTAAGGACCACTGGCCTGCGTCCGCCTAGCACTAACCCCATGCCCGATGTACTTGCAAGATAACGCAAAACCCTCTTAGCGGCAGACCAGTGCTGAGGTCGGTGCCTGCCTGTGGCCACGAAACGAGCCAGGATGCTGAGAGGGTATGCGAGATCTGGGCGAGTGCAAGTCATCAGGTACATGAGGCAACCCACTAGCTCAGCGTAAGGACCACTGGGATCTACCGACTCCTCAGGAACTGGAGCGGAGAGTCTGTGGTCCAGAGGAAGAGGGGTGGGCTGTGCGGAGGAGAACTGAAGGCCGAACCTCTGAAGGACCTGGCGCACCAAGTGTGACTGAGTCAGGGTGATGGTGCGCGCGGCTCTGTCCCTGGAGATCTGCAAGCCAAGGTAACGGCGCAGCTCTCCAAGGTCAGTGCAGGTGTGTCTCTTCAGCAGCTCTGCCTTCACGGAGGCCAGTGCGTCCCTGTCAGCAGTGGCAAAGACCAGGTCGTCTACGTAGACGAGGATGTAGAACGGAGTCGAGCCAGCACGAACGAAGAGCGAGGGGTCTGCAGAGGACGGAAAGAACTGCAGGTCAGCAAGGGTAGCACGCAAAGTGTCGTGCCACTCACGAGGCGCCTGGCGCAGGCCGTAGACTGGCCGCCGCAGAAGCCACTGGGTCCCAGGGGGGAAGGTGCCAGTAAAGCCCTGAGGGCGACGCAGGTAGACCTGCTCGTGAAGGCTGCCCTGAAGAAAGGCAGTGGAGAAGTCGAGGGAGTGAAGCTCGTAGTCACGCTGAGCCGCTACGTGTAGCAGCACCCGAAGAGTAGTCATCTTCGGGGTAGGAGCGAAAGTCTGAAAGAAGTCCACCCCCTCGCGCTGACTGAAGCCTCTAGCCACGTAGCGCGCCTTGAACACAGGCGGCTCTCCAGGAGGGCGCTTCACCTTGAAGAGCCAACGGCCATCGACCACGTTCACCCCAGGTGGGGGAACTGCGTCGACGAAGGTGCCGGTGGATCTCCAAGATGCCATCTCCTGCTCCATGGCAGCTATCCACTGAGAGGCCCAGGGTCCCGAAACCGCCTCAGCGTAAGTACGAGGGGTCGGGATGTCGAAAGCGTCTGGGTCACCCTCAGGGACTAGCAGCATGGAACAGAGATGGGGAGCAGCCTCGGACAGGAAAGCAAGCTCAAACTGGCGGTCCTCCAGGACGTCACTGCCGAGGGCAGGAGCACCCCCGACAGACGGAGGACAGGCAGGGTGAGAGACCAGAGCGGTGGCGTAGTCAAGGCGGCGGGTAGAGGCGAAGTCAGCGACCGCAGCGACGAGGGCGTCAAGACTCGACACGGGAACAGACGGGTCGGTAACGAGAGAGGCAAGGACCCGAGGAACAAGAGGACGAGCGGCACGAAAGGAGTCGGACAGAGGAGGAGACGCAACGACAAGAGAAGACGGAGGAGGAGACGGGAGGAGGGGAGGACGAGACGCGTGGGAACGGAGCAACATAGGGTGAGAGCGCGGGACAGGGGAGACAGGACGAGCACGAGAGGGGCGGCGAGACCAGACGTGTGAGGGCGGCGTCGGGTCAGGAGACAGAGGAGGGGACACAGGAGGGGAACGAGGGGGAAGACGAGCCGGGGACGAGTCTGGCAGAGGGAACACGGGGCCGTAGACGGGAAGAGGGGGAGACGGCAGGAGAGGAACAGGCGCAGGGTCAGGAGACGGAAGGCCGAGCAGACGGAGGGCGGACACAGGCGGGGACTGCTGCTGCGGCGACACAACACCAACACCAGGGCCACAAGCTGCGCGACGGCTACCTCCGGAACCCTCCACACCTGCACCCCCAGAAGGGACACCCCCAGAGTCCACAAACGGCGGCAGCGACGACAGCGGCGGCGGCGGCGGCGGCTGCAGCGACGGCTGCGACGGCGGCGGCGGCAGAGACGACGGCGGCGCCTGCAGCGACGGCTGCGACGGCGGCGGCGGCGGAGACGACGGCTGCAACGGCGGCGGCGGTGGAGACGACGGCTGCAGCAGCTGCGGCGACGGCAGCTGCGGAGGCGGTGGAGGAGGAGACACCGGGGGAGGGACAGACGGCGAGGACTGCGCCGGAGGACTACCAGAGTCAGAAGACTCGTCGACCGGGACGACCGACGGGAGGGGGGTGACGTGAGACACACCAGAGGGGGCCGGACGGGGGGGCGGGGGGGGGGAGGGGCAGGGACCACCAGGGAGGGAGGAACCAGGAAAAGGGGGGGAGTAACCGGGGGACCACGGTGGGGAAAGCGGCGGTAGAAGGAGACGGACTCGTCAAAGGTGACGTCGCGAGAGTGAAAGAAGCGGTGAGACGGCGGGTGGTAGAAGTGCCAGTCGGACGCGTCAAGGGGGAAACCGAGGAAGACGCAGGGGAGGGTGCGGGCAGTGAGCTTGTCCGTGCCAGAGGCACGAACGTGAGCAAGGCAGCCCCAGACGCGGAACGCAGACGCGTCACCAGGGGACCCGGTCCACAGAAGGGTCGGCGAAACCTGCGGCCGCTGGGGGTGCGGCCACAGGTTAAGCTGGTGAGCGGCGTAGCGCACGGCGAACGGCCACAGAAAATGGGGTGCACCGGCGTGGATCATGGAGGTGCGAGCCACCTCCATGACCAAACCGATGCGTCGCTCAGCGACCCCATTCTGCTGCGGGGAGTCCGGCAGGGTAAACGTCTGGGTGATGCCCTCTGCACGACAGAAGCGACCAAGGACACCTGAGGCAAACTCGCCACCCCGGTCGGAGTGAAGGCGCAAGGCAGGGAGACCGCGGTGGACACGAGCAGAGACAAGCCAGGGGATGAGAACGTCAGGCACGTCGGCCTTCCGCTCCAGGGGGAAGACGGTGGTGTAGCGCGTGAAGTCGTCGACAAGCACTAGGAAGAAGCGCTCGCGACGCGGCCCATGGACCGGGGCTGGGCCCCAGACGTCCATGTGCAGAGTCTGCAGTGGTGCGGTGGTAGGGGGAAAAGAGGAGGAGTGAGGGGCACGGCGGAGCCGGCCCTCGACACAAGGCGTGCACGGTGGGGCGGGGGAGGAGGGAAACTCGGGGAACGAACCGGGGAGACCAAGGACGAGACCGTGCTGGGACATGTGACGCAGACGTGGGAGTGCAGGGTGACCAAGGCGGTGGTGCCAAAGGAGAGTCGGGTGAGTGAGGGACCGACAGGAGCACGCGGCTGCAACCTGGGTGGACGCAACTACCGGGGGGGAAGACCCAGCCGGGGACGGCGCGGTGTCAAGTGTGAACAGGCCGGACACCGGGTCCCGGGGGAAAGTGGTAAGGGGGGCACCAGTGGCGGCCTCGGTACAGACAGCATACCGCTCGTGACCAGGGAACGTAGTGGTGACGCCAAGGTCCTGGAGGCAGCCGACACCAACTAGGTTCCTGGAGAACGAGGGGATATGCAGACCTGTGAGAGTGCCCGAAGGAACCGCCGGACAGGGAAGGGAGGTGGAACTGCGGGCAACGACGGGACCACCGGAGGGGTCAGCAAGAGTAACTGCAGCGGGAACAGGCATCGGCGTCAGCGTCGTGGAGTCGCGGAAGAAACACCGGGAGGCGCCAGAGTCCAAGGTGAAGGAAAGCGCAGCAGTCGCGCGAGGCAGCAGTGAAGCGGTGGAAGCACCAAGGCTAAGCAAAGCAGGAGATCCTACGCCTGACGCAGCAGGGGAGTCTACGCTAGACACCGCTACACTAGGCAACACGGAGTAATAAGAGGGAAGCACACTAGAGTCATCAGCATACATCACATGCAAGGCCGCTACAATGACATCCATGTCCAAGTCAAAAATCCTAACGCTACGCCTAAGCAAGCTGTGCCAGTCCGGGAGGTCGGGCGCCGGGCCAAAGCGCTGGCGGAACAGGTCGTCCAGGCGACGAAAACAGCGAGGAGTAGAATGACCGATCTTACCGCAAACGAAGCCGCGGCGAGGACCGGTCTGGATCTGGTACTGACAGGGCCCGCCTCCAGAACCACCACCCGGTGCACCACCACGCGCACGACCACCACCAGCTTCAGGCCACCCAGGTGGGAGAGTACTCGCCTGCCTCGTCTGCGGCGGCTGCTGCGACTGCTGCGAAGGCTGCGGCTGCGGCGACTGCTGCTGCTGCGGCTGCTGCAACTGTGGAGGCAGCGGGGCAGCTGGACCGGGCAGGGTCCCCACGTCCGCACCGGCACCGGACGACCCGCCTCCACCACTACCCCCACCCGCACCCCCGCCGCCTCCGCCGCTCCCAACCTTGGGGCGGCGGCCCTTCGCCGAGCGGGACTGCACTGCAGCAGCAGTCTCAGCCACAGCGACAGAGCCGTCGGAGAAGGTACACTGAGCGGGGGCACAACCCTGAAAGATAGGGACCGGTACTGTACCGCTCGCCAGGGCTATGGAGCGGTGACGAGTCTCTATGGCAGTCAGGGTGTCAACAAAGTCGGTGAGGGTGAGAGCAGCAGGATGGATGCTAAGGAACTGGTCGCGGGCGGCGGCAAGGCGGTCAGGTAGGCGGGTGGCAAGGAGGTAGAGGGTAGAGGTCATGGGAGGCTGGTGGACTCTAAGCTGAGCATCAGTGCAGGCAGCGCGCCAGGCCTCATCTATCGAGCGCAGGTGGGCAGCGAGGTCAGAGACAGTGGGGAAAGACGCCAGGTCAGGAAAGAGCAGGGGAAGGATCAGGCGACCCACTGAGGCAGCAGGAGGGGTAGAATAGCGCTTGATGACAGCATCGAGGTAGGCCTGGGCGGTAGGAATGGTTCTAAAGCGAGGGCGCTCAGTGGGGGGGAGGGCATTGCTAATGGCGAGCTGAGCAAGGGCATCGCGGGAAAGCCAGACAGAGCGGGCAAGGGCAGCAGCGGCAGTGGACTCGCGCTCAGCGGGCGTGGGATCTGTGGGCAGCACAGCAGGGGGGTCAGGGCAGGGGAGCATACCGTCTAGGTGTGCAGAAAGCGGGTGGCCGTCCTGCCGCTGGCCAGTGAGGTGGCGGCGAAGGTCAGCCAACCACGCCTCGAACTCCAGAGGCTGACCCTCAACATCAAAACGAAGCTCAGCAGCCATGAGGGGCAGTGGAGGACAGTGCAGTGCGGTGCAGTGCGATGCAGTGCGGTGCAGTGCGGTCCAGTGCGGTGCAGTGCGATGCAGTGCGGTGCAGTGCGGTCCAGTGCGGTGCAGTGCGGTCAGTGCGATCCAGTGAGGTGCAATGCGATGCAAGGCGGGGCAGGAAAGTGCAGGAGGGTGCAAAGTGGTGCGGGGAACGGGGGACAGTACCAGGAAGTATGGAGGGCCGGGGCAGGTGCGTCGGGGCCGGGCAGGCACGACAAGGCCGGGCGGCGGCGACGGGGCCGGGCGGCTGCGACGGGGCCGGGCGGCGGCGACGGTGCCGGGCGGCAGCGACAAGGCCGGGCGGCTGCGACGTGGCCGGGCGGCTGCGACGGGGCCGGGCGGCTGCGACGGGGCCGGGCGGCAGGGACGAGGCCGGGCCGGACACAGCAGGGCCGGGCAGGGGCGACGGGGCCGGGCGGCTGCGACGTGGCCGGGCGGCTGCGACGTGGCCGGGCGGCTGCGACGTGGCCGGGCGGCTGCGACGTGGCCGGGCGGCTGCGACAGGGCCGGGCGGCTGCGACGGGGCCGGGCGGCTGCGACGGGGCCGGGCGGCGGCGACGGGGCCGGGCGGCAGGGACGGGGCCCGGGCAGGCCACAGCAGGGCCGGGCAGGGGCGACGGGGCCGGGCGGGCGAGCAGGGGCCGGGCAGGTGCGACAGGGGCCGGGCAGCCGCGACAGGGGCCGGGCGGGCGCCACGCGGCCGATAGGCCGCGACGGGGCCGAGCAGGGGCGACGGGGCCGAGCAGGGGCGACGGGGCCGAGCAGGGGCGACGGGGCCGAGCAGGGGCGACGGGGATGGGTAGGAGCGCGACGGGGCCTGGAGGGGCGTTACCAAGCCCAGGTAGGGGCGCGACGGGGCCTGGGGGGAGCGCAATGGGGCCCAGGAGGGGCGCTACGGGGCCTGGGAGGAGCGCGACTGGGCTAGGGAGGGGCGCGACGGGGCCTGGGAGGAGCGCAATGGGGCCCAGGAGGGGCGCTACGGGGCCTGGGAGGAGCGCGACGGGGCCCTGGAGGGGCGCTACCAGGCCCTGGAAGGGGCGCGACGGGGCCTGGAGGGGCGCTACGAAGCCCTGAAAGGGGCGCGACGGGGCCTGGAGGGGCGCTACGAAGCCCTGGAAGGGGCGCGACGGGGCCTGGGAGGAGCGCAATGGGGCCCAGGAGGGGCGCTACGGGGCCTGGGAGGAGCGCGACGGGGCCCTGGAGGGGCGCTACCAGGCCCTGGAAGGGGCGCGACGGGGCCTGGAGGGGCGCTACGAAGCCCTGAAAGGGGCGCGACGGGGCCTGGAGGGGCGCTACGAAGCCCTGGAAGGGGCGCGATGGGGCCTGGGAGGAGCGCAATGGGGCCCAGGAGGGGCGCTACGGGGCCTGGGAGGAGCGCGACGGGGCCCTGGAGGGGCGCTACCAGGCCCTGGAAGGGGCGCGACGGGGCCTGGAGGGGCGCTACGAAGCCCTGAAAGGGGCGCGACGGGGCCTGGAGGGGCGCTACGAAGCCCTGGAAGGGGCGCGACGGGGCCTGGGAGGAGCGCAATGGGGCCCAGGAGGGGCGCTACGAGGCCTGGGAGGAGCGCGACGGGGCCCAGAAAGGGGCGCAACGGGGCCCAGGAAGGGGCGCGACGGGGCTAGGGAGGGTCGCGACGGGGCTAGGGAGGGTCGCGACGGGGCTAGGAGCACGACGGGGCCCAGCTAGGGGGCGAGCGGAAGCGTGAGGGGGGGGGGGGGGGGGGGGGATCCTACCTACGCGTGATACCATAACAAACAGTGAAATTTATGAATAGAGAGAGAGAGTACACAAACATATACCTAAATGTTGTACTCTCTAGAAGATAACCCTATACAGTCTATACAAGCATGATAACTAAACATGTTTGACAGAATGGACACAAAATTTCGGGTTATCAGGTCAAATTTCAGACGTGATCAAACTGCAGACATCCTCACCGTTCAACGGACACGACTGTTTTACCTGGAGCTTCGAGTTCGAGCTGCTGATGGAGGCCGCGCATCTCTTAGGATACTTCAACGGGTCCCTGCCATTTCCAAGCAATGGCACTGCAAAGGAGCAGAAAATCTTCACTTATCAGTCGCTGCTGGCGTACACAGTTCTCCAGCGGAACCTGTCACCACAAGAACAACAAAGCATCAGAACGTATCGGAGCTACGGAAACTCCGCGGAGCTCGCATGGCATCACCTCAAGGATCTCTACCAAGCAAATGATAGCGTGACACAAAGCAGACTCATGCAGCAGTTGACAACAATACAAATGAAAACCGGGGAAAAGACGATACAGTATATGAGTCGCTGCCAGACACTCCGCGACCGCCTGCTTCGGTGCGGAGGTACAATCACTGAAGAAAGCTTCGTGACACTTGTCCTCGCCGGGCTCGGGCCAGAATGGAGAACCACTCGCTCGCTTCTTCGCGCCCACGGACGAGTTTCAGAGATGCACCTCTGTGCCGAACTTCATGCTGAACAACATGAGATGGATCTGTTTGAAGAAAGACAACCAAGAAACAAGTAGCAACCGTTAGTCTTCTATGCTCAACGAAGAAACGACAACTACAATCGACGTGACAGGCAGAATCGACACGACACCAAAGGACTCACCATCGTGCCGCCGTTCTGCCACAACTATCAGACATCCGAACACTCAAAAGTTAACTGCACACGCACCCGAGTTTATCGTCCAGTAGACCCACAAGTCGCTTCCACTCAAGAAAGTCCGCCAAGGCGTTCCTCCACATCTGCACAGGGCACACCGAACATCATCAATTGTATGGTACGCATCGACAACTGCGCACCCGGATCACCACCCACTTATGCTCCAGACGAAGAAGAACTGCCGCCGCCGCGCTCACAAGGCCTTCAGGTCAACCCGACGTACGCTGCAGTCGCCAACGCCGAACCCACTGGGCGAAACACCTGGTTCTTGGACAGCTGTTGCGGCCAACACATGTGTTCTTCCAGACGCTTTGTGCAACGAGAGCGACGCCTCAACCGCGATGTCATCATTACCGTCGCCAACAACGAGAACCTGAAAACAAACAGACAAGGAGTGGTTCAGTTGCATTCCATGGAGACAAATGTCATACTGCAATTCAACAAGGTTTTAATCGTCGACAACTTGGGATACAATCTGCTAAACGTCAGTCAGCTAATGGAAAAAGGGATTCACCTGGAATGCGACTCGGACGCCAACGAATTTCGTCTTTACCACGGGAAGGGCGGCCTCTTCATCGGTCGCGCTCTCCTGAAATCGGGTGTCTTCGTGTTGGATTTTGTCCCCGACCGCGGTACTGCCGATAGCGATGGCATCGTGTCGTTCGCCGCCTGGACGCACCCGCCGGATCTTGACCCCGAGTTTACCCCAGATGGATTCTGGTACTCTAACACCATACCTGCAGCAGAGAGAACACCAGCGTTAGCAGTCATCCGACAAGAAAGACAAGTACCAGCAAGCGCCCTTTCCCCGACATCACCTACAGTAGCAGCAGCAGGACCCAGCCGTGTACCATCACCAGCAATCCGAGGACCGCCAACCGAAGCAGATCAACTTATGCCCATCACCCGAGAAGTCTGCTGAAGTCCCGCCACGGTCGTCGCATTCTTCTCCAACGCCGACATGTACCAGCGCTCACCCGGCCATCGCGCTCCCGACGACATCTGGCATCAACATCTAGGGCATCCTGCAAACAGCACAGTGCTACAAACCATACAAGCCGAAGTGTTAGAAAGAAATGCCCTTCTCACAACGAGCGGCCAAGAACTTCGACGACCCCGCGCACGATGCTTCACGTGCCCCAAAGCCGATCTTCCCCACCAGCCTTTTTCGTCGCACCACAATCCAAGCGCACCTGCATACGAACCGATGGAAAAAGTCTACAGCGACATCTTAAATATGCCTCGAGATGACAGTGAAGCAGAATACAACTACGTTATAACGTTCATCGACGCAGCAACACGATACGTCTGGCACTACAACCTCAAGACACGAGATCAAGCGTTCAAAGCCTTCACAGCATGGCTGCCCATCGCTGAACGCGAATCAGGCTCGCAACTCAAGAGCTTCCAGTCAGACGGAGCACAGGAGTACCAGTCACAATAATTCAAGAAGTACATGGCAGAAAGAGGCATCAGACGGCTGGTGTCCCTGCCCTACGCTCACCAATAGCAGGGGGTCGCAGAGAGGATGAACCGGACCTTGCAGACGACGATGCGAAAACTGCTCCTGGGGATGAGACTGCCCGACACACTGTGGCCAGACGCGATGACGCATGCAGTCCACCTGCACAACTTGCTGTCCTCGTCATCACTTCCCAACAACGCATCACCGCACCTGCTGTGGACACGAAAAAGGGGCAGCACAAAATTACTTCGAGTCTTCGGGTGCATGGTACAGTACATACCCCACACAGCTCGAGCATGACGATTCTCTCAACGAGCACGGTGGGGACTACACCTCGGGATCGCAAAACATTTCCAAGCATGGAAACTCCTCGACATACAAGACAAAAATACCGTGGCCTCACGTGATGTGATTTTCTACGAGCGACTGACGCTGCAGCATTACCTGGACAATGTCGCCAACACAGAGGACCCCACCGACGGCTTCGAGGGCCTTCGGTTCTTCGCCGACCGTGCTGCCGAAGCTGACGTAGCAGAAGAAGACGTACCTAAAGCCTTGGAAACTGCCGGACCACTCCCTTACTGCTCCGTGCCTGTTCCACTTGACGACGAAAATCCTCTCACTAGTAACAACCTCGACACCTATTACCACTTCGCTGACCAAGGTTACGGTACACCTCAACCAGTTGACACGAATGTCTCAGAACGCATCGGACCAAATTTCTTACCTGATCCAGAAGATGGTGATGAAGCAGCCTATCCCGGGAATGAACATTCCCCTCGACACACACCCACGGGCCTGCAGATCCTTGGACTATGGGTCGCCGTCCAGAGCCCGCCGCCGCCGTCTCCGCGCGAGCCAACGACTCTGTCGCAGGCTCTGGGGGGGGAACACAAGGCGAAATGGAAGGAAGCAATGGAAAAAGAACTGAAGGCCCTGCAAGACCGAAACACGTGGAAGCTGGTACCTGCAACAAAAACCAACGGGAAAAACGTGCTCTCGGGAAAGTGGGTGTACCGCATCAAGACTAATGCGGACGGCTCCATCAAACGATTCAAGGCTCGCTGGGTCGTACGAGGATTCGATCAGCGATACGGAACCGACTACACAGAGACATTCGCCCCAGTCTCCCGTCACACCTCCTTGCGCATTCTACTCGCCGTCACGGCCACGAAGAAGCTACCACTTCGCCAGATCGAAGTCGCAAACGCCTTCCTGTACGCACCTGTGGACGCCGAGATCTTCGTCGAGCAGCCCCACGGATTCATCGACGATCCCACAAAAGTATGCCAGCTGATAAAATCCCTCTACGGGATCAAACAAGCCCCGCGGCTTTGGCAGCAGCATCTTCACGGCCGCCTCGTCAGGCTCGGCTTCCTACAGCTGCTGCACGACCAAGGCATGTACCAACTACAGAAAGAAGGGGGTTTTGTCATACTAATCGTCTACGTCGACGACCTGCTCTACATCGGCTCCACTACCGTCATCGCCACCTAGTTCGAAGGGGAGCTGAGGAGTGACTTGACACTCACGGTGTCTAACACCGTGACCCAGTACCTGGGCCTGAACGTCGTCGAAGACAACTCGGCGTTCTACCTACACGCCGGAAAGTATGCAGGCGTTGTCGCGAAGAAATTCGGACTAACGCCGATCGTAGTCGCGACTCCCTATCGCTACGGGAACGACAACGGCGGAACCTCCGCAAAACTCCCCACGAAGCAAATCCAGGAATATCAACAGAAACTTGGCTGTCTACTGTTCGCAGCAGTAACCTGTCGACCGGACCTGTCCTACAGCGCGAACCAACTGCAACACACCTGAAGCAGCCGGAGTAAGAGGATCTCGAAGAGTTAAATCGGGCACTACTCTACTTCGTCTCTACGCCGATGACCGAAGAAGGACTTTACCTGCGGGAGCTGCTCGAGGAAGCGAAAATAACGACCATGCCCGCCTTCTCGTTACTCTGCGACAACCAATCCGCAATCAAAATCGCGAACAAAGACGGGTTCGCCAATCGAACCAAGCACATCGCCCTGCGGTATTTCTTCGTCAAGGATGAGATCGCGAAAGGGAGACTTAAACTCGATTACTGCCCCACGACAGAAATGGCCGCAGACTACCTGACGAAGAAACTGGCAAAGGCAAAGTTCGATTACTGCATGCTGCTGACCGGGCAGATAAACGTCACCGAATCTGGACACGTCAGCACTCCAAAAACGAAGGGGAGTGTTGGAAATACCTCAAGGACTTAACGAAGGGGAGTGTTTCTGAAGTGTGACACTACACTCGAGTAAAGCCGTATCGGGTACGCGAGTCAACGGAGGTTACACGAGGAGGTTGGACGAAAGAACACGAAAGGACAAAAGACTCGAAGGGTCGCAACCTCCGGTTGCGACTGACCGTTACAACTGCAAGGGTGGTAACCGAACCGATCATCGAGTCGCTGTGCGACTCGATAACCGTTCTTTCAACTGTATTCCACAACTGCTTTGCTTTCCTATTTTCTATATATTGCAGTATGCTTGTTTCTTTTAATCAATCACTTGCTCTCACATACTAGTGCAAGGGTTCAACTACTCAACTTCCGCTGCACTACTCAAGCATCCTTTTACAACTGGGACTTAGTCTCTGAAAGACCCTAAGGGTTTTTTCTCAGCCCAACACTCCCTAAGACACAACCCTATATAGTCTACAGAAACATACAATATATGTTTGACACACCCCCTAGATAGGAGAGGGGCAGTGCCCGATGAGAGAGAAACAGCTAGTCCAGCCTCTGAGGCAGGGGTCTAAAGACCAATCACACGAGTACAGACAAGGCAAGTGCAAGACCATGGTAGCACTACTAGTCCAGCCACTGGGAAGAGGCCACAAGGCCAGTCAGGGTAATATATATAAAGGTCTGTACATAATCAAGGTCCTAGCAAGTGAGAGGCTACAGGAACGATACCTAGCTGTACACAGTGCCGCTGATGATCTTTAGGCGCAAGCGCCTTAGTAAAGATATTAGCTGTGTTGGCACATGAGGCCAAGTGTACTACACGAGCCTGGCGACGCTGGTGCAGCTTGCGCAGGAGGAAGTATCGCAGTTGGATGTGCTTCGCTCTGCCCTCAAGTCGTGGCTCCTGACACAAAAGGATCACGGCCCTGTTGTTGTCAGCGTACAACAGGCCCTAAGATTCGTTTTGGGACACGCTGATTCATCATCCCTACCTCCTGCATTAAGGCTGATTTTGTAGACTTGCCCTTGGAAGAAAGGCTGAAAATTGCAGCGTTACCTAAAAAAATTACGCTGATTATTCAGCGTTAGTCGAAAATTAAAGTCTGATGCAAACTCTGAACGGTCTTCTTGGAATTAGCGTGGACTTTTAATAACGGATTTCACGCTAGCCTAAGGGCATGTTCTTGCCTCGAGGAAAACTTCTAGGCAGGACTTCGGGGCGTCTCGTATACCGCTACGGCTGAGATGGTCCAAAACTCCATATTTTTCGATATCGACCGTGTACAAAATGCCCCAATGTGCCGCCCTGATGTTTTCCCGAGGCAAGAACACTGCCTGAAGCACATGAATTGCCAGTGATGTGGCGCGATATAAAAATTTGAGGTGTTTGCGCACGAACCACCTCGGGAAAGCCAAGTTGCTTGCGCGCCAGCGTGGCGCCGCCACCCCAGGGCAAAGGACTAGAGTGACTAGCTACAGTAGAGTCGAGACTTCGGCTCCAGGCCTCACGTTTGGGTTTTTTAAATCCGGATTCTTCCAGAATTGAATATTGATGCCTCATTTTGTGCATTTATAAGGTCCCACAGACGTGGAGCTCGTCGAAAGGATAGAATAGGCTTTCAAATGGGCAAATTTCAGGCCCGTTTAGCCAATCCGGATTTTATTCCGGCACGGGTTTCGCTGGAAAAATCTGGAATTTCACCGAAATTCCGGATTATTACCCGTCTATCGTGAGCCCTGTTCGGCTCTCTGGGTGGGGGGAAGGTGTGAGGGGTGTTTCTGGTTGCTAAGGACTTGCACGAATTCTCCAAGGTTGCGGGGGTTACGAGAGGGGGTGTGACTGGTTTCCAAGGACTTCAACAAAATCTTTTAGGTTGCCGAGGGTATGAGAGGAGTGTGACTGGTTGAGGACTTCGAGATTTTTTTCTTGGGCGTGTGTGTGATTGGATGCGGTAATCATGGGGGGACGCAAATCTCGCTGTACTCGGTTCAGACTCCCCCCCAGACACATCGCTGAAACCACAGCCCACACTCCGACAAAAACGCTGAAATCAACAGACTTTACTATAAACAAAAGGCTGAATTTGTCAGCCTTACCTATCTCAAAAAGTCTTACAGTTCAGCGTAGGTTCAAGAAAAAAGGCTGAAAAAAGGCTGAATCAGCGTAAAAAGGCTGATATCTAGGGGCCTGGCATACAGAACTGGGGAAGAGCTAGGCCGCTCACCCAAGTCGGTGAGCAAGAAGGTCAGCCAGCGGAGCTCCTATGCTGCCATGGCACCTGTGTAGATCTCACCCTTACAGCTACACTGGGCAACAGACGACGAACGGGTGGACCTCC